GCACATCTTTTGTAAACATATACTGCAGTGTTAGTAATTCAAGTATCACTGTTGTTAGTAACTGAACTTTCAGGGGGAAAGATCAGAAAAAAAAGTAAAAATAACAACATTCTTTTCAAAATAGAAATATGGTCAAAGGTGTAAACCACCTACTTTAAAAGTAAACTTTAATAAAAGTCAAATTTGTTTTCTTGGTGATGATAAAATAAAAACATAAAAACACATAAACGAGCAAAACATTACACATTAAACCAGAAATCCTTGAAGGGCTTAAAATAGTATAAATAAATAAAATTCAAGGATTGTGTTGCTTCTGTGTGTTATTGTCGGTTGCTGAAGGTTTCAAGAAGGTCAATAGAAAAATTATAGTGACGTCATCATGCAGCACTGTGAAAATGATGGTACATTTCATTTAAAATAAGAATATCTATAATTTTTTTGTCACTCATTTGTAGTTGCAGGTGAACATATAATACAAGGAAATGTAATCTGCATTTGTATGTTTAATTGGACAAGTGTAATTGTGCCCTTTTTAAAAAAATCAAAACTTCATTTGCGCCAAAATATTAAATGTGCAAACGCAAAACGCCAGTGAATTTCCAAAATAATCATTATTTCAAAAGAGGGACGAAAGATACCAGAGGGACAGTCAAACTCACACATCGAAAACAAACTGACAACGCCATGGCCAAAAATAAAAAGACAAACAGACAAATAATAGTACAGATGACACAACAAGATTATTTATTAAACTATTAACACTATCCTGGTTATAATTCATAAAATTAACAACATTTTAGTCCTTGTCCGTTGAAGGTTTTGATAATAAAGTGTTGACATTGAATAGATGCCAAGTATATATACAAGAACACATGAATCTAAAAACAAAAAGAAACAAAAACAAAACAGAAATGATTATTATTATTATATAGAAATTCTATATAAATCTTGTAGTTGATTATGCAAAAGCTAAAGTCGCAACTTCCTCAGTCAAAACTTGTCTTGTATGGTTTTGATTTTCTGTTTAAGTCAATTTATGTTTGAATAGTAGTTTTCGGTTTGAATCATTTTTGACTTTCTTTTTTTTTTTACTCTGAATACATTCCTGATGAAGTTTAATCCAACGAACGTAAAAGATCAGTATGGATTTTTTTCTTTGGTCAACAACTAATGACTTGTGGTTTTGAATTCCGCAGGGATTTTTTAAAATTGCTAGCGTTTTTGTTAATAATTTTTTTTTCCGCGTACATAACAATAATAAACCGTTGCATGTAACCAACAAGTAACCACAAATTCAAACGTTGTCATTTCTTATTTTAAAAATTACTCGAATAAAACTTGAAATTAATGCCTTATATCCTTTGTTTATGAATGGAATGTTATAAAGGTTGAGTAGTTTTATCAGAATGCTTATGATGTGTCGGAAATTATTTCCATTTTTCATCCTATTAAATATTTGTGATGACTTAAATATAAAATCTTTGTTTTATACAATAAGCTTGATCAAACTGTAAACAGAATTAAGTTCCATGTCAAGAAGTGAGTCTTAGGTGTTTAATAAGATCGTCCCCTTTGATGTATCAGAAACCTTAAGTCTATGTGGCTGTGATCTGCTAGATTATGTTGCATTTTACGGGGACTAAAAGTCATACAAATATAGGATAATTCAAAGATTTTGCAAATCCTAAATTGAAGCAGAAATATAAACAAGGAATAAAGACCACTCGAATATCGTTTTGTAGTGACGCATTAGTACTTATGACAAATATAGACATGTATGTCGGAGCAATCTGACAGGAAAAAATAAAGTTGAAGTACTTATATTTTATTATTATTTGTTTGGGGTTTTTTTTGTCTCTCTCTTTCTAATTCATCTTTTCGGGAATTTCATTAAATATTATTATTTATAGTCAATATTTTCGAAAGCAGTTTTGTCAATATAAGTAGTAATAATTTCACCTGTTGTATTCATTTATTCGTTTATAATTTTTGTTTACTAAATCTTAGAATTCTTGATGACTGTTTGCCTCTCCTATGTTTTTATTGGAGGTTGTATTGAGATGATTTGTTGGTTGTTTTTTTTTTTTAGTTTTTTTTTGTGTTTTGTTAGGGTTTTTTTGGGAGGGAGGTATATTTTAAAAAAAAATATATAAAAAATCAATAAATCAATAAGGGATTCGTAAACTTCAGTAAAAACACTTAATCTTGACGGCATTGTACATAAAAAAATAACATGAAATAAACTATAAGAATGATTATTTTTTTTTTTCGAATTAAAAAAAAATTATAAATAGATACATAAAATTTCTGACAATTTACTTCACAAATAATTGAAAAGAATGTTTGTGATATGTCAACGAAAAGCTAGGAATTTGTATTATGCAATTTTAATTTACTAATGGTTTCTATAATTTTCATATTCAAACGACTGCAATCTGCAATTTATCCTAATTTTTCAATCTCATTATGCAGTATAGCACAAGAAGAAGAAGATATGGTTTCCTCTCGATCAGATAGGCGCACAGGGGACATAGTCCAATATAAGACATTATTTTATGCAAAATAAAGCGTAACTATAAGTCTACGTTGTAATGATGCTCTAAAATTTTGATTTGAACGGTAAAACCGAATGAAACCATTATTTAAGAAAGAAAAAAAACATATAAATGTGTCTCTTTATTACTTTTCATATTAACTTGCAGTTTAAGTTTATAGTTAGAAAAAAAATACCTTAATAGTGGAAGTATCAGTGAATCCAACTGTTGCATTGAATGAAATGAAGTAGAAAAACAAACTGGTTCTTAATTTTTAAAAATATTGTCTAACTATGAACACCCGTCTCGAAAAGTTATTTTAAAACTGTACAGTCCTTTTAATTTGGCTGTTACATTTTTAGATTAAGAATACTTATTTTGTGGTTTTTTAAAGGTTATTCTGCTTACTTTGTACTTTGAAATTCTTAAAAATATGAAATACCTCAGTTGTGCCGAAATGATTTTGCATTTTCCAAATCGAGACAACTATCCACTTTTCCTCTTTTAAGATCCATCCGTTGAGGAAAACAAACTAGAATTGTTTGTTTATCAGTAGGTAGGCAGAAACATACAACATGTCACTTTCAAACTGTTCAATTTCAATTTTCAGGTAACTTAAAAATCAAAGGTTACCAGCGCGTTTCCTTTAAGTGTTCTTAGCTAAAATAAATTTCAGAATATTTGAAAGTTTGCGTCCAGAGGGATTAAGACTGATAGAGGTATTGGCACAAACTTAGGCATGGTTAAATTATAGTATACATTTATGGCGATTACTGTCACAGAAGAAATCTGGGTTAGATTAATCTTCTATGGTTTATAAGGGAAATATTCTGCTGAACCAAACTAAAACATAAACTGTATCTGATATGAAATTCTTCTAAACCAAATTGAACCATAAACTGTATCGTATATGAATACGTTCACATAAGTTTTTAATAAACCGTTAATTAAAGCAAAAGTTACAAATTGGCTTTTATATGTTTTAAGACCTCTGAAGACACAAACCATTATTTCATCATGATTTGTAAAAGAAGTGTACTTGTGAAATATGTCCCTGAAGTACAGAACAAAAGCAATACATTGAAGAAACATGCTTTTATTTTATAATGTTTCTTACTTCTTTTTTATGCAAAATATGATCAAAGGACATCTAATCCAATTATTTACAAACTATTTGAAATTTTATATATTTTTTTCTTTGAAATTTTAATATATGGTATAAATGTGTTCCTCGCATGATAAATTCGTGATTGCTGCATTACTTTATAAGTATTGCACAGTCTGTCAATCAAAGAAATTTGTTATAAAAGTAGCATACCATGTATTCTTTTATATTAAAGTCTGTATGTTATCATGCAGAGAATTTTATTACCATTCCCATTCTCTTTCTCTTTCAGTTTTTAGAGGAACAAACTGTAGCTTTCAGTGTTGTATCTGAAAGACTTTGCTTGATTTTAATTTAATTTACCAGTATTCATATTTCGTTTTTAAATGTAACATTTATATACCGATACAATGTTCGGAGCGCACACGCTTTTGTTTTTGAATAAACTCATCATATGCCCTCTATTCAAATAGGTTAGTGGGTATAAAAGCAAAGAACCATGGTAGTATAAAAAAAACATACTAGACCTAAAAATAACAACAACAACAAAAAGAAAATATGAGCACGAGATAAACCCGTTAATTTTGGTAAAAACATTTTAAATCACCTTTTAAAAAGGAATTTGTTGCCACCAACAAAGGAGAAAATATTGTTAATTCAATTCAACAATTAATAAAGATCTGATTTGATTAATTGTTGATTTATGTATTCATTTATCTATTTTTTAATTGTATTACTTTTTCTCTCGATTTCTTTGAAATTCGATCACTAAAAGAAGAATTGTTTCGCCGATTTTTATCATTTCCCACTTTAACAAATTATATTAGTTGGCTTTGATAATAAACTGGTAAACAATACCAGCTCTCTCATTACTTTCGAAAAAATAATCATCCATACTCTTGTATCTTTACTTTTCAAAAATCTCTTTTTATAAATCCAGCCCAAAACATAGCCTTTTTTTGGTCTAAAATGCTTTAATAAAATAATTAAATTTTCCTTAGCTTTTCAATCTTTTGAAATTAATTTAATACCCTTATATCTTGATTTGTTATTTGTCCTTATATTGTTTGTTTGTTTGCTTGCTTGTTTGTTAGCTTTGATATACATATATCTAAAAAAAAAAAGACTATGTTTTATGTCAAAAAGAATGGCGGTATATATTTCAATAATATTGATATTTCGACGATAAATATTAAAACATTTCTTACAGTTTTTCAGTTATGTCTGGTTAGCTATTACTTCTACAATCCTCTTCAGCTGATTGTTTATGGAATGCATACAATGTATGTTCTTTTTTAAATATTTCATATTGGGCGGGCTATCACATTTAAGATATTTCATAAATTTTACTTTTTCCGTAGGATGTTCCAGGGAATGTCAATGGTACTTGATGTCATCCCAGTAAGTGGTATCCCGTGATGCACCAGATCAACAATGGTTTACAGGTTCGTTTTGTTGTGGAATTTTTCAGGGATAATTTGCATCAAAAGAGACCAATCGATGATCGAACGAGATTATTAATTTTGTTTTAGTTATAATCAGTTAAGTTGGCTAACTTAGCGTCCAAACAAGGCAGCAAAATGTTTTTAAAAAAATTGAAGTTTTCGCCCTCTATTTACAGAGTACTCAATATCTTTCTCAGATTTTATCTAAAAGAGAATTTCATTTTATTTGAACCTATATGTAAAATGTCTGTATTCGTTTGTGCCCCTTTTTTATATTTCTTATTAAATATTTCCAAAATATCTTATGGTAACGAAATTGGACTAAGTTTGTCCGATGTAGTGGTACCACTCCCACCCACCACACCCGACAAGAGACGTCAATTTGGCGTCCATTCGGACACAAAATGTATAAATATGTAGCCACCTCCGGATGGTATGTAGACGTTTATACCAATGCCTCATGTAGGGAAAGTACAACACTCTCTGCACGTCGAAGAACCATTGCAGCAATTATTTGAGGAGTCCATAGTTTGTTTGTTGCCAGGCCACACTTTTGACGCTATCGGTCATAACACCTTTTTCAAGTTCCAGTCCACATTTCCATTCCTTCGTCCTGACTGAATTTACCAAATGTTGTTATCCTTCTGAATACACATGCATGCAATTTTTTTAACTTCAGGCTAAACATAAACAATTAAATAACAAGAGCTTATTACATTAAAAATAGCACACGTGTGGGTGTTACTGTAAACAATATTTTATTGTGAAATCAAATACATCTAATACAATATAAATTTACATTATTGCAAATAGGATTCAGAGACAAGCAACAAGTGTTTATGTAGTGTGTATGTAAATACATAATTGACATAGTAATATCTCTGTTTAGTGAGTAGAAACCTTATTTCACGAACATTCTTACATACTATTCGATGATCTTTTCCTATTTTATTTCACTTTTAGGCGATTTCAACCACAGCCCACTATCCTGCGATGATTATAATTGTGAAACAATGAGGAACTATGACAGTAGTATCTACATAACAATGCCATTATCTGAAAATCAACATGTCCAAAAAAGAGCGCCAAAAAGCAAGATTATGAAGGCGTCTTAGCTGATTTTAGTTAGAGCGTGACTGTTTTGTTTAATTAGTGTTAAAATAAAGTTTTAAAAAGTGGATTCTATATTGTACTTTCGTTCGTTTTAGGACTGGTTTGAATTGGTCAATTATTGATGTACTGTTTAATCACATTTGTTACTAGTCGTTCTGATATTAGGTGTATGCATTTACTCATGTTTGGGTCTCAGGCTACTCTTGTTTGAGTGAAGAGTAGCAAAAGAACCTTTCTATTTTGAGTTGTTTTCTGCTATTTTCGATGCTGCATTTTATCTCAGAATTGTTCTTTTGTTAATGCTTTGTATAAATCGTTGTATAATTCATAATCATGGAGTATTTTGCAAAGAAAATAAACAGTTAACAACTGATATTACTGTAGACTGTTGAAACGCCATTGTTTTCTTGCATCCCAGTCTATTATGGTATTTTCTTCAGTGTATATTTACCTCCTTTCAATTTCGATCCGTTGGTATTCTGTATTTAATAAAACATGTTCATCAATTTTGTCATCTATAATATTTAAATTACTTAAGTACATCACATTTGTATCTTTCTATCAAAACATATATACCATAATTTAACATACAACGTTGTAGTGTGTATTAGTTTTTTTACTTTATTACTGACAGAAGTTACCAAAAATTCAAGTGCCTGGTTTGTATTAATAGTAACACAAAAGTACATAATTCCGAACTGTAAAATCAGGAATATCCACACGCATTAGATACATGCAGTTAACTAATGGAAGAGCATACATTGGCTTACAAAAGAAATGTTGGTTTTCAAAACTTTACAATATGCGTATTACAGTAATAGAATAGTCAACACAAATGATGACAACTACAACAATGATACTCTAGACAACCACATTTGGTTCAGCTTTCTCCCCATAGGTACATTTGTCTTTGTTTCTTGTTCTTGGTTGGTGATCATTATGTTAAGACTGTGGTTTTTTTTTTTGCATTGTAAAGAAACGTTTGGCTAAAATTACTAAATCTGGAGCAATGAGTTGCAGAGGATTAGCTTAAAATTTGTCGAAGCCTGATTTCATCGACATTCTCTTTTCATGTAATGAACATTTGAAAAATGTAGTAAACAATTGTTATTTCCCGGAATTATCCAAAATTTAACATTTCTATTTTACCATTTTCCTAAAATTACATAAACTGTTTGAAACTATTGTTATATAAAAAACAATATTAACGATAATAATGCGATTGCAAATGGTGTGTTGTTGGTGCAGTTTACATTTTTAAACACAGAACAAATACAACTTAAAAACAGCACTTAAAAGTGGATGGCTGCTTATTTTTACTTGAATTTCTCTTTTTTGAAAAAAAGTACAGTTATAAAGATGTTGTTCCGTGAATGCAAGTTAATAAGATCAAGATGTAATACAGGTCATAGTTCTGTAACTAATGTTACATTTCTCAGTCTCCGGGGTACACCAAATATTTCATTTCCTGAAATTATAATTTAAACGTGATAAATGAATGTCAATTTTTAAAGTAAACAAAATGATACTGACTAATTTAAGTTTAAACAGTTCAAATGACAATTACATATTAATTCTATATAGGCTTATTTATTCAAAAGATATTTGTAAAATATCACACTTCAAATTGCCAATTTCCATCCAAAATCGGGGACTTTTACAGAGTAAAATTATGGAGTTGACGTCCAGATTTGGTTTTGCCTATGTTCTTTGTAGGTGTTTCCTACAAATTAATAAATCTCTTGAATTATTTGGTATTTAAGATACAATCATTTGAAATAACCTATCCCTACACGGAAAGTTTTAGAATAACGACTTTTTTGGCAAAATCTATGTCTTATGAACGCAAATTATATTAGGGACAGAGATGTTTGGCTACCAGGACATTTTGGTGGGGTAGACGTATGGCTACATGGACATCCTTTTTCTGCAGTAAAACTCGTGTCGATGATTTGTCCGTTTGGACATATGAGGTGTTTAAGTCTGATATTTTAAATCCACGACACGATTTTGATCTGCTGTCCGAAAACAAAAGCAAAACAACCAAAGTATATAAAATAATTCCCCAAACCACTTACCGCCACGTCCCCCACCCCCAAAAAAAATCTTAAAAAGGGCTGATAGGTGACATTTTGTGAGGCTTAATTATTACCTTAGTTAATACGCTCGCTCTCTACCTCACTGGCAGTCAAAATCATATAAAAATTTTTCTCCATGTCTCTCTCCTTTCCAGATATATTTTTTTCTTGACGAAATATGCATAATATTTTTGTAAATGAGTAATACGGAAGATACAATCAATGAACAATAAAGCCACTAATTACAATATCCATAAAATATATAATATTTTGAGACAATTGTGTGTAATGGAAAATTTATGTTTTGGCTTTTTTTTAAATTATCTATTTTTGACCTTTATATTTTCAAATTACATGATTTTCATAATTATATGATTTTTTTTTAAATTTTCGCCAACATATAAACATAAATAATATATATATTATAAATTAGTATAGATTTCAAAACACTTATTTATGCAAACTAAATCGACTGCGCTGTGTTCAGAACAATTTATATTAATCGAAATAATTGAACATTTTTACATTACATCACATCAAATGAACAGGTTTTTATAATGCAGAGCATCCGTTTACTTTCTAAAAACAAAATGTCACAAAATAGAATGTGTGTCAGCGCAGCCGTACTGTTGCATTATTTGTATCAGAGGGATATCTCTCTTTTTCTCTTCTCCATTGATTTTTTTAGTATGAGTTTGTTGATCAGAAATAAAATGTACGATGATCTGTAACTGATGGCATCTTCATCCTTTTAGTCTCTAACATGTAGTTGTTTCAATTGCAATCAAACCACATCTTCTTATTTTCATATTTTTTTTGTTTCCGTCCAGGACGATTCATTTTTTCTTATTCCATCATAACCTGGTCCTAGTTTAAAAGTTTTATTTTCATATGGACGAATGAGAGATACAGAAATGCACAACTGATTAAACGAATATAACAACCATGACTCAGTCTGGATCTTCAGTAATGAAAATATATACTTTCATACCCAGTAACATGTATACCTTTGTTCGAACGTTGGAATAATAGAAAGAAAATATATGGGGTATCCTTCCATGACACAAAATCAGTACATGCACAGCAAAAACACAAAAAGGCAAAGGAACAGCGCTTTTATTGCTTTTCTTCATTTCAAAGTCACATTGAGGTCTTCAACTATTTTTTAAAACCCTCTTTCTCTGAATTGGGAATTATATAAATATTCACATGAAACAAAACTATATAGCTATTCAAAAAGATCATATAAAAACCATTTTTTACATTACAAAGAATGGTTTTATTTTCGTTGAGGTTGCCATGTATCATTAAATTGCAATGTTTGATTTTAAATAGATTATATTTTACATTTGGCACAAGATGCATACACAACGCGTTCTTCAAGATAATTCTAAATCTAGGAAACGAATAAAACTAGCTATGGGTTATAAATTTCAATTTTTATTTTATTTTCCATTCAATTTGAAAAGAAAAGCTAATAAATATATTTGGTAGTACTTCACACCCGAAACTTGTATGCCAGGTTCTATTGTTATTGATAGTGTAAGAAATCCATGGGGTTAGTCTCCAAATCCGTGTCACCATTCACGTTACTATACTGCAGCTAGGACGTGCAACTATGATAAGATGACAAGATTTAACTTTCTATCATAAATTGTTGGTAATTGACAAACATGAATTATAATACTGCCCCTAATATCCCTTTCTCGATGATAAATTTGTCATTTTGGATAAAGCTGAAATAATTTATCTCCAGGTAATGAATTCTCGCGTGATTGTGTTTGAGTTTTAGGCACGCGCAGATAAGGAGACGCTACAATTAGCGGCACTAAATTATAGATATTTCATTATGATATATTACACTGAATATTGAAAATTTGTTAAGTCATTGTGACTGTCTCAATATAGTTCATGACCATCAACAATAGACAGTGATTACTTACTTGTTTCAGATATAAAATGAAAAGTGTTGGGGAGGATTGGAACAAAGTACTTTACTGTGACTTTCCCTAAGCTCTGAGTGTTCTTGGTAAAGCTAGGTTAATATACAGGAAAGTTCTTCGGATGCCACAAGTTCTGATTAACCGATTTACATTTAATACCACCGAGTCACAAAAACAGTCTTATCTGCCAGTGGTCAGTGCTTCGGAACCAGAGCAATGTTTTATAAACATTTTGATTCGTATAGTTAATAAATCTAGCAACTTTGACTAAAACTCATACAGGCAATGGTAATGTTGTTTCTTATATCGAGAATATCTTATTAAGTCGAGAAGGAGGTATGCATACTTGCATCGGTTTTAGGTAAAACAAACAGCTTGCCAATGGCACAATAATCTTAAAAAAAAGAAGGTTTATTGAGTAAAAAGTATTGAAGATACCAGGCTTATAATATAGCATGACAGTTGCAAACGAAACAACTTCCCATCAGAGAACAATAGATGAGGCTGTAAACAACTATATGAGACTGTATGACATTTAACAAAGAGAAAAACCCATGCCCTATAGTAAGCTTTTAAGTCATATGAAACGAGTTTCTTGTAATTTTAATTTTATCGAAATTATTGAATCAATGGATGCATATATGCTAAACTAAGTCATGTATGCACGTTTTTTTTATATATTTATTACGATTTATAATGTATTATCGACAAATAATATTTCATTCAGTGATTATTGATCGCAAGCTTATTAACTTTTGAGTTTGTTGCCAAAGTTTAACAATCAACACAGAGCAAGTGCAGCACATGACAAATAAGTGAATAGATAAGAGCCATGATATTTTTTTTTATATATTTTGCATGTGTTCCCATTTGTTAATTAAACTTTTCCATAACAGTTGATAACTGATTTATTGTAAATTTGGGGCCTGTTTATCGAAGCGGTCTTAGGACTAGGACATGCCCTAAGATCATCTTAGGACGTATCTTAGTCCTAAGTGGGTTTATCAAACATGTCGTAACTTAGGAAAAGTCGTAGGAATCGTCCTAACTTTAGAACACCTCAATAGGCGTCTTAAGATGGTCTTAGGATGATCTTAACTTTAGGATATATTTTATGATGGTTAATTTGTAAA